TGTGCCCAGCTCCTGTGTTCCTCAGGGATATGAGAACCACAGCTTCATCAGCCAGGATGGGCAGAAACGCAGCATCCTCTCCATCACTTCATGTCGTTTTTGGCCAAAGACACAGCGCCCTCTGCTGGAGATGAGATGAACTCCCCAGGTTTATTCAATTGAAAGCCAAGGCACATCATGTGTGAAACGACACTCTTCTTTGTGTTCCAGGTGTGTGTGAGTGCTCTCACTTCACCGCCGGGATGACCTGCGAGCGCTGCCTGGATGGCTACTACGGCGATGCTTTGATTGGCACTCCTGCTGATTGTCAGCCGTGCCCTTGCCCAGACCGGAGCAGCTGCGCCCAGATTGCACAGAGCGGACAGGTGGTCTGCACCAACTGCCCCGCCGGACAGACAGGTGACACCAGCTCCCAGCAATTTAAACTGATTGCTTTGGACCATACGTAAAAGTAATAAAGAGCTTTATGTTAAAAACAATCCAAACCATACCTCCCCAGCAGCTTGGTGACAAACAGGTAAAACACTACCTGCACTTCCGTCACATTTAATCCGTGAATTTAATTTAATCACGACAGACTGATGTTACACAGAGCTGACCCCACCGGCGTAGTTCTGCTCCAGTCATCCATCAAACCCCTGCCCACCTCCACCACCTTTTCATTGTTTGCAGGGACACGCTGTCAGATGTGCGAGGACGGTTACTATGGCGACCCCCTGGGAACGTCCGGCACGGCTCGGCCGTGCGCGAGATGCGACTGCAGCGGCAACGTGGATTTCAACTCGGTGGGGACGTGCGACCGCGTCAGCGGGCGGTGTTTGAAGTGCCTCGGGCACACGGACGGCGAGCGCTGCCAGCGCTGCCAGCGGGGATACTACGGCGACGCCCTCGACCACGCAGCCAGCCAGAAGTGCAGGCGTGAGTTCATTAACGGGACGAGAGGATGTTATTGTTCACATTAAAACCACAACGTCCTCTCTCGCCCTCTAGAATATTTTTAGCAGTTTTGATTTGATTTGTGGCCTTGAACGTCGGTGTGCAGGGTGATGTAAGAACAGACAGGAAACCTCCGTGGTGCAGTGATCAGAGGTAGTGAACGTGTGCAAAGGAGAGGCAGGAAGTGACCAGTAAATTAAAAACTTCAAGGAATGCCACGTTAGAGCTTTAAACAATGTTGAGAAATGACAGGTCAAACACTGAAAACAAACGCTGAGCTCAATCTCACGCAATATTGTGAGATGTCATTCTAATAATATGTGTTGTAAATCAGTGGTTCCCAAAGTTGGGGTCGAGACACATGGTGGGGCATCAAGGTGGGGTCCTGAAAAGATTTTCTAAATTAATTACATTTTTGCCTTAGTTGACTAAAATGTATAAATATAGAATAATAAATATTGTTACTATGCCCATGTTCAGTTGGCCTGATACAAAGGTTTATCATCCAAAACTAGTTGGGGGCACAGGTCTCTGCTGCTGTTATTTTGTGGATCAAAAGCTGAAAAGTTTGGGAACCACTGCACTTCAGAAATCAATTTAAAGAGTAATAAAATAATTGGTGATGCAATATTTTCCCTATAATTCTTACAAAAACACAAAATAAGAATAAATAATTATTTATATTTGTGTAGCCTTTGTTTTTAGGGTTATTAACAAAGTTTGTGTACTCAGACCAGTAATATTTGAGGTCACAAGTTTTTGCCATGAATATTTCGTGGGTCAGAAGATAAAAAGTTTGGGAACCACTGTTGTAAACAACTCTCAGCTACTACCACATCACATTTTAGCTCAGTCCCTTTTTTAACTAACTGAGTTACAGCCATTTGTTGTGTTTGCTGAGATCTATTAGCTGTGGCAGCCATCTTGAATTGGAATGACTCCAAAAGTTAATCAGATGTAGATTCACATCCAGTAATATGTTTCTTAAGGTTCCATTCAAACCCAGCAAATGGCTCATGAGATATTTTGCTAACAGAGAAATTGAACTGACTCCAATGGTTTACACCAAAGTTTTAGGCAAATATCTTGAGCCGTGCGTAGTGCTTGAAGTTTATTCTGGAGATGACGCTATGCTAATACCACACCAGACTTTTAGCGTAATAGCTCTAAAATCTTTGCCACTTTTAGCAGTTTTTAAGGTTTGCAAGCTTTTGGGTTGAATCCAAAAGTAAATCATTTGTAGAGGTGCGTTGAATGATTACTTTCTGAAAGTTTCATTAAAAAGAAAGAAAAAAAGCAGAGCTGAATCCAATGAATAATGCCAAAGCTTTAAACAAAGGTCTTACACAATTCGTTTTTAGCGTAAGAGTCGGAGTTCAGACTCTGCTACTGCCACGTTGCAGCACACCAAAAGGGCTTCCGAATTCCAGCTCAGACGAACAAAAGGAGAGGTAGAGAAAAAGATGTGCACATTGTAAATGACATGGTACAGGGCTGAGGTATTTTACAGGAATGCAGAAATAGAATGGTCCTTTCAAATCTTCAGGTGCAACTCTCGAGTTGTGCAAAGCAAGAGGTGAAAGCGAGGCGAACAAATGGCTCTGGGTCGTTGGATTGGTCAACTTTAAAAGTCGTCAAAGTGAATGAAATTCAAAGGGGGAAAAAGCTACAAAGGCAGAAAGTGACCCAGAAAGCAGAAGCAATGATGTGTTCTTCCTTTGATTTTCATATATCCTTTCCTATATTTCACTTCTTGCTGTAATTCTCAGTTGAACTTGAGAGCAAAAAGCTGCTGTGCTTGGACTCGGATCCTTCAGTTTCCCTGTTATTAGCTGTTGTTTTCTCCAGTTTCTCCAGTCCCAGCACTCAAATGAGATAAATCTAGAAAAGCGCTCTAAGTAATAAGCTGACGTGAAAGTTTAGGTTGTCAACGATTCGCCGCTGTATTTGAAGCAACAGTTAGATTGCTTTATTTTGTTTCCTCAGCGTGCAGCTGCAGTTCTGCTGGAACCTCTGGGCATGTAAATGAGTGCCACCCTCAGACAGGAAATTGCCTCTGTCTCAGTCATGTGACCGGACGAGACTGCAGTCACTGCATCGTTGGCTTCTTCAACCTCCAACCGGGACTTGGGTGTGAAAGGTAACTAGATTCCCACTGCAGTTTAAGATTTATATGACGATATATAATAGCACACATTAAGATGGTGAAACCTTTATTAAGGGTTATTTGCCTGTCATCCTCAGGTGTCAGTGTAACCCAATAGGCTCATTGTCAATGGCGTGCCATCCAGCCACAGGGGCGTGTTTGTGTCGTGCAGGGGTGGAGGGGCAGCTGTGTGACTCCTGCCGTTTTGGCTTCTTTGGATTCTCCATGCGAGGCTGCAGAGGTACAATACTTCAGGATCGTAACTACATTGTACATCATCAGTTCCCAACCTGTTGTGCCCACACACCCCTTCAAAGAGCACATGGGGGCTATTGTCACAGCTCAGAGGTTGTGAAAATGTCATTCTATTGTTTGTATATAAAAATCACCAAAAACAAGTCTGTTTGAAAAAGTAAAACTTTGTATAACCCAGTTTATTTTTCCAAATAAAAGTTTGTAATGTTCATTTTATTCTTTTTTTATTTTTGATAAAGAGGGTTGAACACATTTTGGGAGAGCTGGGATGGCTTAGCTTGGCTTGGAAGTAAAAAAAAAAGGGGGGGATTTTAGAAAAAAATAGGTTTGGAGCCACTGCTGTACATCAATACTGCAATAAAGATCCCATTTGAAATATTTTCCCCTCCTTTTCCCTTCTCCTTTTGTTCCCAACTTGCTTCATCCAGCCTGTAACTGCGACCCGATGGGCTCAGCTTCCATGCAGTGTCACAGCAACGGTACCTGCCTGTGTCGCCAGGGCTTTGTGGGCCATAAATGTGACAAATGTGAGCTGAACTATTTTCACAGCAGAGCCACGCACCAGTGTGAGGAATGTCCAGTTTGCTATGGCCTTGTCAAAACACAGGTGAGTTTCAGTTCAGTGAGGTTTGCTGATGTTTGTCTATCAAAGGTGTCAAGTAACTAAGTACAAATACTTTGTTACTTAACTTAAGTAGAAATTTTGGTTATTTATACTTTAAAGGAGTAATTATGTTTCAGTCTATTTTTTTCTTCTACTCATTATATTTTAATTCAATTATCTGTACTTTCTACTCCTTACTTTTTAAAAATGAACAAAGTATTTCATTTCAATTTAACTTTGACTTGTTTTTTTTTTCCATATTTTCATTGTTCAGAAAAAAATTAATAGAAATCTATCCAGACACATGGAGCCCTTGGATGGAGTGAATTTGATTGTGGTTGATGAGAAGTGTAAATATAAACCATCCTGACATCCTATTGGATTGAACTCACTCCATCACACCTGTATGACACAAATCACATCACATCCAGCAGGACAGACTGTAGCAGATGGAGCCTAGAATGAAGACGATCGTGGCTGAAACAACTAGTCCAGTCAGTTAATTCCAATTTTTTCAACATTAACATTTTATTTTAACATTATACTCATTATTGACTTCAGAAGAATAATGGAGGGTTGTATGATATAGAACCCTGTGGCACAGCCTAAGCTTTTCTCTTTAATGGCTTTTTTAAGTGTTCATTACTTTTACTTTTATACTTTAAGTATTTTTAAAACTTTTACTTTTATACTTTTACTTGAGTAAAAAGCTTGAGTTGATACTTCTTAGCCCACCCACACAGACCAATATTTGCGTTTTTACTCCCACCACCCACTGGAACACAAGTTAGGAGTGATCAGGACTCTGTACCAC